CTATGAGTCGGAGCCGACTTCATGGCACCTAACAACAACAATAACATTTATATAAAAAGATAAGAAATGGCAAATGTAGAGACAAAAGTTTATTAGTGATTAACAAAGAAAAACCATGGACAAATTTAGAGGCCCTAATTCAGGGCATAAATACAATATCAAACATAACTAAAAATACACAAACAACAGAAAAAAATAGATGACTGGGACCTCATAAAAATTAGACAGTTATGTGTATCAAGAGATCTCACCAAGAGAGTAAAAAGAGATCCCACAGACTGGACAAGGTGCTAATCTCTAAAATTTATAGAAACATCTTAACAACAAAAAGACAAATAATCCAATTAAAAGATGGGCTGATAATATGTATGTATTAGCCATGTATTAAAAATAACTACTACCCACCAGCCACTCCTCGGAAGGAAGACTGAGCAATCTACTTTCATAGAGTTACTGCCTCGGAAAACCAAATGAGGGGTCGCTATGATTCAGAGATGACTCAACGGCACATAACAACAACAACACTACAACAACAACAACAAAAAAAAGATGGCTAGAGAAGGTGAACAGACACTTCACCAAAGGACATTCAGACAACTAAAAAATGCATGATAATTAGCCATTGTTGTTGTTGTTAGGTGCCATTGAGTTGGCTCCAATTTACAGCAACCCTATGTACAACAGAATCAAACACCGCCTTATCCTCACAATCCCTGTGTGATTGTTGGAGCTGCATGTCAGCTTGATTGGACCACAATTCTGTGTGGTTTAAGCAGTTGTGATGTGGTTATTCCCATGATGGGATCAGATGAATATGTTTTGAGCAGACAATCCACTGAAAGGGAGTTTCCCTAGGGGTGAGGCCTGCTTCCAGTATATTTATGGACATCCTGGGAAAAGAGACACTCTTCTGTGGATCGGGATTCTGTTGTGCTGCCTACAATTGTCCGTGAGCAAACAATCCACCATTCGGCCTGGAGATCTTGAATTCGTCATTCGTTGGAGTCAACAGCAGTATACTGCCTGCCAACCTTTAGCACCTCAGCCCCTGCAGCTACGAGAGTCAGGAAAAGCCTTCATCTTGACATTTGATCCAAGAACTTTGGACTTGCCAGCTTCTATAAGCGTGTGAGCCATTTTCCTAAGATAAATTTCTCTTTCTCTATATATAAGCTTTACTGGTTTTGTTTCTCTAGAGAACCCAGTCTAACACATTTGGTACCGGGAGTGGTTCTAGAGAAACAAAATCATAAGGATGGGCTTCCTAAATTGGTTGTCCAATTTGATTAATTGTAAAGACACTAGTGACCCTGCCTCTGTTAGTAAAGAAGGCCTTGTTAATCCAGGGCATGAGGTGGCAACATTAATATGCAAAATAGCACCACCAATAGATCAACTACTTTTGAGAAGTGAGGCTCTGGGCGATGGCGTATTTGATACTTTTCTGCAATTTTGTGAGCATGAGGAGTATAAGGAAGCTGGTTGGTTGGTTCTACTTACACACTAGGCAAAGTGGTGAAACAGCAAGATGAGCTCAGGGCTGCTGAGTCACGGCTTAAGCACTGCATAAAAAACCTCAGTGTTTGCAGTTGTGCTCTGAAAGAAAGCCTTATTTCTTCTAGTAACAGAGCTGATATTGCTGAAAACCAAACCCAGAGTCTTATTGTAAGGGTGGCTGAATTACAATGCCAATTAAATTGCCAACCCAGAATGGTGTCTGAAGTTAAAGTGAGGGCATTGATCGGGAAAAAAAAATGGGAATCCTGAAACCTGGAATGGGGACATATGGGGAGAGAGTCAGGAAGATCAGGATACGGAGCCTGTAAATTCTGTTGAATCCCTCCCATCTGAAGGGATTACTGTAAAACCATTATCCCCTCCCCCTCAGTTTGAGGGGATTAGCCAAACTGGTCCTGCTGGGTCATTGCCTGAGGCAGAGGTCATGGAAGACATTGCTGAATGTTCTCAGGAACTGCCCCAACCACCCATTGTTGCTCCTAGACCTATAATTAAAGTTAAGTCCAAGCGAGCCCCAAAAGGTGAAAGAGAAAGTGTGACTGAGGAGGTGGTATGCGATACCCGAAAAGACCTACTTGATATTGCTAACATGTACAGACAGAAACCTGGGGAATATGTATGGGAATGGCTACTGAGGGTGTGGATAATGGTGCAAGGAATGTAAGATTGGATCACTCTGAGTTTATTGATTTAGGCCCACTAAGTATGGATTCTTCATTCAGTGTTTGAGGTCAGGAGGTTAGGAAAGGATCTAATAGTTTATTTGGTTGGATTACTGAAGCATGGATTATGCAGTGGCCTGTTGTTGTTGTTATGTGCCGCTGAGTCGGCCCCAACTCATAGCGACCCCTCCTTGGGTTTCCGAGGCAGTATCACTATGGAAGTAGATTGCCCAACCTTCCTTCCGAGGAGTGGCTGGTGGGTTTGAACCTCCAGCCTTCTGGTTAGCAGTCAAGTGCCTTAGGCACTATGCTACCAGAGCTCCTGCAGTGGCCTACCTTAAGTAAAGTTGAAGTACCAGACCTGCCTTGGTATAATGTAGAAGTATTCAGAGGCTTAGGGAAATTGGCCTGTTACAATGGATCTATCAGATTAGACCCCTAGAGCCAGAAATGGAGAGTCCAGAAAACATGCCTTTCACCAGTACGGTGAGGAATAAATTTGTGAAGGGAGCTCCAGCATCCCTGAAAGACTGCTGTGACTGCTATTTTATGTAAACCTGATTTGACAGTGGGAACTGCCCTAATTGAACTAAGACACTTAACTACAATGGGGATGACTGGACCCTGTAGTAGTAGGGGCCAAGTGGCAGCAGTTAATTGACAAAGGCAAGATGGGCATGGTTACCATAATGGATAGCAGAGTTGGAACAGTAATCAAAATAGTCTGACTCATGGGGAATTATGGCATTGACTACTTGTGCATGGTGTTCCTAATAGTGAAATACATGGCAAGCCTACTAAATATTTACTTGATCTCTATAGACAGAAGAATTCTAGGTCATGAGAACAGCAGCCTAGATTGAATCACCAGAATACAGTGTCATGGCCTCTCAATCAATTCCCAGACTTGAGTCAGTTTACAAACCCACAACCCCTTGAATGAAGGGGAGGTCGGGTCCATTTGAGGAAGGACCCCACTACATTGCCAAAAATCTATAATGTCAATCTTTCTCCCAGCTTTTCCCAAAGGGATCTGAGGCCTTTTACAAGAGTGACTGTTCATTGGGGAAAAGGAAATAATCAGACTTTTCAGGGATTACTGGACACTGGCTTTGAACTGACACTAATTCCAGGAGACCCAAAGCATCATTGTGGCCCACCAGTCAGAGTGGGGACATACGGAAGTCAAGTCATTGATGGAGTCTCAGATAAGGTGCGTCTCACAGTGGGTCCACTGGGTCCCTGAACCCATCTGGTAGTGATCTCCAGAATGCATAATTGGAATAGATATACTGAGCAATTTGCAGAATTCCCACGTTGGGTCCCTGACATGTGGAGTAAGGGCTATTATGGTAGGAAAAGCCAAGTGGAAGCCATTAGAACTGCCTCTACCTACAAAAATAGTAAATCAAAAGCAATACTGCATCCCTGGAGGGATTGCAGAGATTACTGCCA